GGGATGGGACTGGTCTTCTGTCAGTGTTTGCCATAGTCCAAATTCTGTCTCATCATTGCTGCTTCAGACACTTCCATTATTGGCCTGGCTAATTATTTCACACTCTAAAGATATGTGGGCATCTGCACACCAGGCTGTTGTCCTGGGTCTTGGTGTTTCTATTCATCTTATACTCTTCCAGTTGGCCCCAAACTCTGGGGTGGTAATGGAGGAAGCCTGGAGCAAGAATTCACTGTCTTCCAGCCAACCCACTTCTGGGATGTATTGGAGGGGTGCAGAGCATCAACTCACTGTCTTCCAGTTGGTCCCACCATCAGAGATATAATGCAGCGGTGCATAGCATGAACTCAATGTCTTCCAGATGGCCCACCCTTTGGGATGTAATGGAGGGGTGCAAAGCACACATTCATTCAGGGTTTTTTTATACAATGGAGTACTATTCAGCTATAAAGAAGGATAAACTTGAACTATTTCTAGGTAAATAGATGCACCTTGAAATCATACTCTTAAGTGAAAGAAATTGATCACACATGTGTAAATATCACATTGTTTCTCTGATGTGAGGAACTGAAAGTGCAAATAAAGACAGAAGTATATGATAAGTATTGTGAAATAGGAGAAACTATTCTTTTTTTTTTCTGGTACCAGAGATTGAACTCATGACCTTGCACTTGCCAGGCAGGCACTTATGCCACTGAGCTAAATCCCTGACCCAGGCAGAAACTACTCTAAAGAAATGGAAACTAAACAGGGAATGGGGAAAGAACATAGGGAAAAGAAAAAACACAATAAAAGAGGGATAAAATAAGAAAAAAGCTTTGTAATTAAGGAGTAAAAGAGAGGTTGAAGGGAGAGAAGGGACTCAGAAAAAAAGAGGAATCAAGTTATATCATATACAAGTACAAATTCCCTATGATGAATACAATCATTTTGTATTTCTAAGCTGTACTAGTAAACTTAATTTTAAAAAATACAAATCCTGATGAATCTGTGTGAAAAAGGAACTCATGTACATTGGTAGTAAACTAGTACAGTCATTATGAAAATGAGTATTGAGATTCTTTAAAAAACTAAAAATAGAAGTTCCATTTGACCCAGCTGTTGCCCTTCTACCTTCCCAAAAGAATTAAGGACATCATATTACAGTGACACATGTGTACTCATGTTCATAGCAACTCAATTAACAGCTAAATCTTGAAGGCAACCTATATATCTATCAACAGATGATGGTCAAAGAAAATGTGGTATTTATACACAATGAAGAACTATTCTCCCATAAAGGATAAACTTGAGTCATTTGTAGGAAAATGAATGCACCTTGAGACTATTATAATGTTATGTGAGAGAATCAGGAACATAAACTTAAATACAACATGATTTCTCTTATATGAGAAACTCAAGATATAAATTAAGAAGAAAATAAAACAAATAATAAGAAATAAGATACATATTTTGCAAAACGGAAAGGCAACAAGAGATGGAGGGAGGGAGATAAGGGATGAGGAGAAGAAATGGGATAAAAAAGAATTTAAATGTATTATATATATATATATGTACCAACTTCCCACAAAGAATGAAATCATTATGCAACTGCAATCATGTCCTACTGAAAACTAAAAGTTAAAAAATTAAAGTGGAACTTAGTAATGACTGAAAAATGTTACAAGCATACCATGACAAAAAATAAATATAAATTTTAAAGGAGCAAGATAGGAAAAAAGTCAACCCCCAAAAAATAAGCAGTAGAAAGAGACATAACAGATTAAAATGTTGTAAGTATTGGGTGTAGATTTTTAAATAGTTGTGAATAATGTCCAAGAAAACAGATGACAAGATAACATTTTCACCTAACAACTAAAATAGTGAAGGTGAAAATTCTGAAATGAAAAAGATATGATAGTAACTCTTACCTACAACCCCAACACATAAAGAACTTAGATGTCATCACTAACCACACAACAAGAGAAAAATTGAGCAAATGAACAACAGAGTTTTCTAAGATTCAACAGAGAACCGAAGACACAGTATAAACCAACACCTCCAAATCCGGGAATACAAGTAGAATCATACTCAAGACCAGTTAAAACCTAAAACACAAGCCTCTGGAGCTAATAACTTGCAAGAATACTTAAATGATAATTTTTATAAATTGCTAGTCCTGAGTGTGAACTAGTTTAAGAATTAAAAAAAATCCTAGAAAACAATTCTTAGTTATAATATCATAATTTTATTGGTTTTATCTGAAGAAAACCAACAGATTCTCACACTGAGGAAGAAAAGAGTAACATAAAAGACTAAAACTGGAGATTGATCTCATGTACTTGGTTGGAGCAAGGCTGGTTCAGAGAACAAAGAGCACCCAAGGTGAGCCATGTGAACAAGCTGCTTCAAAACACCCAAGCCAACAGGTTGCTAGACAGAGGGGTGTCATGTGACATCAGCCTGCCAACTGTATAAATAAATGTGTTGCAGTCGTTGAGCAATCCTTTTTCTCCCATCAGTAGGAGACTCCACCTGACCTCAAGTTTCCATATTCTGACTCTTTTATTTCTTCATCCTCTACCATCATTCAACCAAGAATTTCAAGAGCTGCACTGAACTTGGCAGAGTAAAAAGTATCCAGTCATGCTTTTGTCAAGGAGAGAGGAAATTAATCATTATGAAATATGCCCAGAGTATTCTCTACACAAGAATTTGTCCTGAAAAGGAAACAATTTTTTCAGGGCTCTAACTGTTTTGGAGTAATTTTCCAGTTCTAGCTACATGGAGATATTCTGTCATCCATAAAGGGAAGAAAAATGGTTCAGAAGTGCTTCCAAATGTCACATTAGGGAATGAGACCCACAAAAGAGAACCTCAGAGTTAATTGGAAGATTTTAGAATATTTCCATATCTGAGCACATAAACAGAAATGTAGTCAATAGTCACGTATGATTCAGATAGTCAAAAAACAGACTCTATTTTAAAATTTCTTAGAAACCCCCAAAGACAACAAGGGACAAAAAAACTAGAATAAACTGAAACTTTGGAAACTATGATACAGCAAATACAGAACATAGCACTCCACAAGCCAGAATCACATAAAACATCATTGAAAGTGTAACTAATTATCTTGATTTCTACTATCCAATGCACATGACCAAATTTCAACAAAAAGTACAAGATACGCTAAAAGGCAAAAATGAAAAACAGAGAAGTCTGAAGAGACAAAGAAAATTTCATAAGCAGGCTCGGATATAACATAAATTTTGTAATTATTAGGTAAGGAATTTTAAATAACTGTGATTAATCTATTAAGGGGTCTAGTGAAAAAAGTAAAGAGATAGGATCTCCAAAAAAGAATCAAAAACCAGAATGCTAGAAATCAAAACACAGCAAGAGAAATGACAATGCCTTTGATAAGTTCATCATAGACTGGCCATGGCTAAAGAAAGAAATTAATGTGCTTAAAGACATGTCACTTTAAACTTCCCAGAGAAGTGGAAAAAAATAAAAAGATTGAAAAACAACCAGACTATACAAAGCTGTGGAACACAAGTCTACCACAGCAATCCTTATCTAGCTATGGTGGGCCACCCCCCAGCATCCCCAAACACTGCAGGACCTCTAGATCATCACTGACATGTCTTAGCTGGGCTTTGCCCAGTGATTTCCAGGTAGCCAGGAGCTGCAGTGTGTGAGCTGAAGCCCACCACAGCAATCCCTACCTAGCTGCACCGGTGCAGGACTCTTCCAGTAATCTAGTAGGCCCCCACTCAGCATGCTCAAACACTGTGAGACATCTAGGTCACCAATTGAGTCCTGCCCAGGCCCCACCCAATGACTTCCAAATAACTGGACCTGCCACTGTGACCTGAAGCCTGCCAAAATGATCTCTACCTAGCAGTTCACTGGTGTGTTCAGTCACTGCATGTGAGTTGAAGCCCATCACAGTGATCTCTACCTAGCCACCACATATGAGCTGAAGCCCATCACAATGATCCCTACCTAGCTGTGCAGCTGCAGAACTCTGCTTGGAACCTGGTAGGCCCCCACTCAGTGTCCCCAAAAACTTTAGGACCTTTAGGTCCTCACTCAAGTCCTGGTTGGGCCCCACCCAGCGACCTCCAGATAGCTGAGAGCTGCCAGTATGACCTGCTAAAGCAATCCCTACCTAGCAGTTCAGCAGTGGGTCTTTGCTTAGAACCTGGTAGAGCAACACCCAGAGACCCCAAAAAGCTGGGACGATTTAATGTGCCATGTGGCATGAGCTAAAAGCCTAACCAGTATTCTCAACGTAACATTCAGCCTTACTACTCCACTCAGAACCCGGTAGGGCCCTGCCCATTGACCTCAACCAGCCTAGGAACTTTGGTGAGCCACATGGGGAGTTCTGAAGGTCCACTCAGTGCATACTCTCCATCTGGTGAACCTTTCACTGTCACTAGGGACTAGAAAAATAAAGGAAAATGATAAAATGAAAGAGTAAAATGCAATCTCAAGCATCCAGCCCATTTCCACAAAAGCCTAGGAGACATGGACATAGAAGAAAGTGTAAGCCATACACCTGAAACTTGTGAAATGATAGCAACTGAAGAAAAGAAGTGACTCTGTGAAGCTATAAAGGAACTCAGATCAGAAATAATCCCTCAGGTAAAAGAAGAAGTGGTAAACATAATAAAAGAATTGCTGAACATGTCTAAAGAAGATGTAGTTCAAAAATTCAGGTGCACCGCAAAAAGATGGAAACTTTTCACGAACAATATTAGAAAACAATACAATGCATGAGACAGATTCAAGGAGACATCCAAGAAATCAAAAATTCCATTGAAGGCTGGAAAATCACCTGAATGAATGTGAAAATGGACTTTCAGACCTAGAAGGCAAGATTGCAGCTAGTGAACAGGAAAGGAAAGATCTTTTAAAAATAACAAGGAATCAGGAAATAACAATTCAACAGTTGCAAGATGATGCAACAGAAGTAATATAAGATTGAGAGGTGTAAATGAAAAAGAAGGTGACTGGCCCTGAATCAAGGCCAGCAACTTCCTGATACTGTTGGATTCAAGCAGGAGCCTAAAGGTATGTCTTTCTATGGTCTGTTGGCCATTTCCAAACTTGGGCAGTGAAATGGTCAATTCACTAGAAAGAAACAGTGTGAAGCAACCCTCTCCCCCCATCCCCCCGCCGTGAGCAGTTATGAGCATGGTAGACTGCAGCGGCCTAAGATGGGAGCCACTGGCATTTACTGGGACCCACACCATGCTGGGACCTGGAGGGCCAGGAAACCAAGCAACAAAACCTGTTTGTTTTGTTTTGCTGAACTTCAATATATATGAAAGTATGGACAGCTCTTTTGAAAAGAACGAGAGACTCTATGACAGCCATTAGTGACTTCCCTATTGTCTGGTTTTCAAGACCTAAAATGCCTTCCTCATTCTGTTTAAATCAGTTTTGTACTGTGGTTTTATATGAATTCTCTGTAGGCGAAGACATGGACAATTGTTTGGAAGAAAACAGGAGACAATATGATAGAGAGTGAAGATCTCAGGTCATCTAGCTTTGAAATTTATATCTCTTACATTGTTTTCTTATGTCCTATTTTGTTCTGTTTTGTTGTGTTTAATTTTACCCCTTTAAAATAAAAAAAAAAGAAAAAGAAGGTGACAACACAAATGGTGTCAAAAGACTATTTACAAAAGTAAGAACAGGAAATTTTCCATGAGAAAAGAAGCTGATATACAGATAAATGAGCCATATATAACTCCAGTTAGCCATAAACAAAATAAATCTACAGCCAGACATGTAATAATCAACATCCCAGAAATGCAATATAAGAATAGAATACTAAAAGCTGATAGAGAAAAGAAACACATCATCTATAAAGGAAAATTCATCAGAATCACAGGAGACTTTTCAACACAAACAATCAAGTCAAGAAGTATATGGAGTGAAGTTTTACAAACCCTAAAGAAAAAGAACTTCCAACCCTTAATGTACCCTGCAAAACGGTCCTTCAAAATTGATGGAGAAATAAGATACTTCCACGACAAAGAACAGCTGAAGAACTTCATGACCACCAAACCAACCCGCAAAGAATACTGAAAGATTTTCTAGATAGACATAAAAACAACAAAAACTCTGAGAACACCAACAAAAAAGCCACTAAGAAGGCAGAATATTAAAGATAGGGGAAAGGTAAAGAACCAACAGCAGAAAGATAACACAACAAAAATAAACCAGTATATATCAATTATAGTCATTAATGTGAATGGCCTCAATTAACCCATTCAAAGAAACAGGCTAGCAGAATAGAACAAAAAACAACATCCAACCATATGCTGCATACAAAAATGCATTTAAACGAAAATGAAATTCATAGACTGAAAGTCAAAGGATGGAAAACAATACTTCATGCAACAAGGATCCCCCGCCTGCAGAAAAGCAGGGGTAGCTATTCTATTTTCAGACAACATGAATTTCAAACCAAGAATGATCAAAAGAGATAAAAAGGTTTACTACATACTAGCAAGGGGAAAACTCCAAGAGGAAAAGACAGTGAATTTAAATATATATGCACCAACTATGGGAGCTCCCAGCTATGTAAAACAAATATTAATAGAAATGCAAAACCAAATAAGCAATAACACAATTATAACAGAAGACTTTTAACACCCCTTTGACACAAAGAGATAGGTCAACTAGACAGAAACTCAGCAAAGAAAGACTAGAATGGACTCAAGCTTGTGAACAAATGGAGTTAGTAGACATGTACAGAGTCAAACAGCAACATCAGAATATACATCCTTTTCAGCTGCACATGGGACATTCCCTAAAATGGACCATATACTATACTAAAATAGACCGTATGCCATACAACATGCTTCAGTCAATGCAGAAGAAGTGAAATAATTCCATGCATATTATTTGATCATAGTGCTATAAAACTGCCAAATGACAAGAAACTACAAAAATTACATAAACACATGGAAAATAAATAATACACTCCCGAGCAATCAATAAGTCACATAGCAAATTAAAGAAGACATTAAACAATATCTACAGACAAATGAAAATACAAATATAAATATATCTTACGGGAACCTGTGGGATGCAATGAAAGCAGTCCTCAGAGGGAAATTTACTGCAATGAACACCCACATCAGAAAAACAGAATGAACACAAATAAATTACCTGATGCTACACTTCAGATATCTATAAAACAAGAGGAAGCCAAGCCCAAAGTCAAAAGAAGAGAGGAAATTATAAAGATCAGAGTGGAAATCAATACAATGGAGACTAAGAAAAAATACTAACAAATAATGAATCAAAGAAATGGTTCTTTGAAAGAATAAATAAAATTGATAATCCCCTCACCACCTTATTTTTAAAAAGGAAAGAAAAAACTCAAATTGATACAATAAGGACAACAAAAAGGGTGAAATCACTATAGACCCTGTGGAAATATAGGTCATCAATATCTACTTTAAACAACTTTACTCTCATAGGTTTGATAACACAGAAGAAATGGACAAGATTCCTAGAAACATATGAATTACCAAAGCTGAATCAAGAAGATGTAAAAATGTTGAGTGAATGAAATTGAAAATGGAATTAGAACCTTCCCAACAAAAAAAAAAAGCCCTGGTCCTGATGAATTCATGGCTGAAATTCTACAAGAAATTCAAGGAAGACAATCCAGCACTCCTCAAACTCGTCAATGAAATTAAAAGGAAAGAAATTCTCCCTAACTCATTCCTGGAAGCAAGTATTACCCTAGTACCAAAACCAAAGAAAGAACCAAACAAAAAAAGGAATTGCAGGCCAATCTTCCTAATGAACATAGATGAAAAATCTTCAATAAAATAATGGCAAACAGAAATCAGCAAATCATCAAAAAGATTATACACCATGAATAAATGGGATTCATCCCAGGAGTGCAGGGATGGTTCAATATACACACTCAATAAGCACATATATAATATCAATACAGCCAAAGATAAGAATCACATGAACATCTCAGTAGAAGCAGAAAAAGCTTTTGATAAAGTCCAACACTCATTCATGATAAGAACCCTATGGAAAATTGGAATAGATGGGCTTTACCTCAATCTAGTAAAAGCCATCTGTCTTAGTTACTTTTTACTGGTCACTGAGACAAAATATCTGATGCCAAAAGTTGGGAAAGGAAAGATTTATTTCTTACAGTTTTTGGAGGTTTCAGTCCATACTCAGTTGACTCCAAGGCAGCCAGGCATGGCGGGGCCGCAGTTCATGGTGGCTGCAAAAGAAACCAGCAAGAGAGCAAGACACACCTTCTTCCTGCCATTACATCACATCCTGGCTCCACTCCTATCTATGTGGGTGCAGCACTGACACCATCAATCCAAGTTCTAGACAATGAACCAATCACAAATGCATAATGCAAATGTATGAGGCCTGGGGGCCACAGACATAAACCATGACAGAAGGGTTAAACTTTTTAAGATTGAATCAAAGAAAAACTACAGAACAATTATACTTTAGGGTTTTTGGTGTCACCTTACCACTATGGGCATAGTATGGCCACAAGAAGATACAGAGAGGGTGTAAGCTTGACATAGAGTGCTTAAAAAATATAAGCACATGCCAGAAAGGACACAGAGCCCTTCCGTCTGTGGTAAGAAGCCAGGAAAGTCATGTGTAGCAGTCTACTACAATCCCTGCCCCACTGCCTAAATATAGCACAGAACTCAGTGGTCTTTTTGCCTTTTCTCTCCACTAATGTTACAAGAACATACCTGGGCCTAGATGGCTGCCATAGCCTGGAATGGATGGACAGAGGTACCTCTGAAGCATGAGGATGCACCTTACAAATCCACAGACCACAAAGTTAGGCAAAGAAAGATGTGATTTGAGGAGCACATGGAAAGTGCGAGAGGCCAGAGTGTCTATAAACTTTGGGCTCATACCATTCTCCAACCCCACACAGTGTGAACTATGAGATAAGATTTACAATTCACACAGAAACATGAGTGTAAAATTATATTAGGTCTTAACAATTACTGTCCATCCCCCATATCCTAGAATTAATAACCAAATTCAGCAATATAGCAGAATACAAAACCAACACACAAAAATCAATAGCTTTCCTGTACACCAATTATGAAACCAAAGAGACAGAAATTAGAAAAACAATACCAATGGAATCAAGAAAAATTAGATATACAGAAATTAACCTAACCAAAAAAAGAAAGGGATAATTAAAGAGGATACCAGAAAATTCCAAAATATCCCGTTCATCTGAAAAAGATGATCAAAGGGGACATCAGGAAATGCCAAAATATCCCCTATTCCTGGATATGCAAAACTAATATTATCAAAATGGTCATATTTCCAAAACTGATGTACAGATTTAGCGTCGTCCCAATAACAATACCATATGTAATCAGAGAGAAAATAATCCTAAAATTCATGTGGAACAAGAAGAAACCCAAAATGGCAAAAGCAATCCTGGCAAAAACAGCAAAACAGCTGGGGATTTAGCTCAGCAGCATAAGCGCCTGTCTTGCAAGCACGTGGTCGTGAGTTCGATCCCCAGTACCAAAAAGAAAAAAAAAGAAAAAGAGAAAAAAATAAAAAATAAAAAAAAAAACCCAGCAAAACAAGAGACTATAATCCCAGATTTAAAGTTGTATTACAGAGGCTGAAGGAACAGCTCCAGTCACATTCAAACACCTATGTTTGACAACAGAAGCAAAGAGGATACAGTGAAGGAAAGATGGGCTCTTTAATAAATAGCACTGAGAAAACAAACTATACATATGCAGAAGATTGAATCTAAACCAGTGTCTCATCATGTACTAAAATAAAATTAAAATGGATCAAGGGTCTAAATATTAAAACAGAAACAAACTGCTGGAAGATCAAAGAGATAAAACTCTCAAACACTTACACAGAAGGAATACTTTCTGAACAAGAACCCCAATTGCACAACAAATAATATCAAGAATAAACCAATGAGGGGAAGATGGTGGAGTAGTAAGCAGCAGAGAAAGTACCTCTCTGAGAGTCACCATCCAGACACCAGAATATAACAATGTGGGGAAGACAAGAAGGAGAAAAGTGGGTTCCGGATCCAGGAAGAATCGGAAGCACGAATTGAAGCTCCCAGAGAGC